CATCTGCTCGACGACGTCCATGTGCCATCTTCGATGACCTACAGACTCGAGTGTCAGTTGCTGTGAGCGTTCTATTCAAATCTATGACGAGGTACGTGGAACATCAGATTTGTACAATTTTGGATAAATCTTTTAGCGGTTAGTACGGTTACTATTGCTTGTCTTTGAACAAAACTGTATCTGTATGAGTATCTCGACTCTCTAAAAATCAATTAGTGAATTATCACTGGAAACAGTGAATAGCCACTGATTTGCAGTTATAAGTATACTACTGAAAATTTCAGTGGTATACTTATAACTGTAAATCAGTGGCTATTCACTGTTTCCAGTGATAATTCACTAATTGATTTTTAGAGAGAAACAAGCCGAGGTTGAAACAATGTCGACTTGTAAATTCTCTGGTCTGTCTGTACACGGGAAAAAATGCTGTTGAATTAAAAAGCATCAAGTTGCTTGAATTAATTGTTAACGTCGCGGGCACATAAATAATTCGCTCGATTGTGCTATAGATTTTAATTTAAAGCATTTCAACTAAATATCCAGATTATTAAGACAAATTATCTGATGTTTTTCGTTCATTAATATTGTGTGATGTTGTATCAACGATTTTATTTCAATTACACTGATCTTATTGATACAACATTCTTTTCCGTGTACATAAATCTAGTCCCGCGAACGTGCAGCTTTCTTATCGAAGCTACACCCACAGAAAAATTTTCCGGATCCAATGCTATTACACTTGAATGTATCATAAAATAGGATCGATATATCGCCAATCATATTTATTATAGAAAAAGAAATATTTTAATCTTAAATGAAAAATTCGAAAATCTAGAATAAAATGATAGTCTTTTGTGGAATATCGTGATGTCAACTTTGTGCGTTGTAAAATGGAGGGACAATTTATTTTAAACGCAAGAATATATAAACTTACATTTATATAAGTTACTCTTGTCTCGATATAGTAAGTCAATCTTTTTTAATTTGATAGAAGAGAATAAGAATTATTGATTTTATTTTGATATTGTCTTATTTTTATACTAAATGAGGTGAGAAATACAGGGTGTCGGATTCGATTTGGACGACTCCAAAGATTATAGTAGATTGGGTCAAGCTGAGAAGAAAAGTTATATACCATTCTTCACGTGGAAAGTTGCAAACCCATGTGGAACAGTACAATGGTGGAAGTACATGCGTGGAGACAGTATGTTCTGCCCCCCCTTCGGGAGGGCTCCACTTCGTTAAAATATAACCATACCTAAACCATGTCCGAGGTGTAGAGTGGATCTCGCTTGCTCGGTCAGTCTGCGCCGCGAGAAGAATTAAGCGTGCGCGCGCGCGCGCGTGTGTGTGTGTTCAACCCGTACCGATTGGTGCGGGAGGGGGCAGGTGTGACCTTGTAAATGAAAACGGTAGTTTGTTTATGATTTTAAAGGTAGCTACACAGGCATTTTAATAAAAATTACTAAGAAAAAGTATTAAAATTTTTAGTTTTCAATTTGTTATATCTCCTAAACCAATGCCGTCCCCCACTTGATTCTTGCGGGGAATTACTCAGAAAACTCTCCCCTACAACATATCTAAGTGGCGAGGAAATCGGTGAGGTGTGACCTATTCTGCATATTTACCCATATTTATTATAGTGAAAAGAATATTTTAATTTTAAATAAAAAATTCTAAAATCTGGAATAAAATGATAGCATGTATCGTCTTTTGTCGAATATTGCGGTGCCAACTTGGTGCGTTGTAAGATGGAGGGAAAATTTCTTCTAAATGCAAGAATATAAACTTACATTTATATAAGTTGCTCTTGTCTCAATATAGTAAGTCAATATTTTTTAATTCGATAAAGGAGAATGAGAATTATTTATTTTATTTTAATATTGTCTTCTTTTTGTACTAAATGAGGTTGTGAAAAATATAAATGCGTCAAGAATATTTTTGTCTTGGCAACAGAAATCCTTTTCTGTGGGTGTAAAATCGTATCTTTGCTTAGCGAAGCTAATTATGTCTGACACGTTTGCGGTGTTTATTATTAGACATATATTCGCGAATTCTCTCGAAACGTTACTATTTAATAAATTTTAACAGACATTTGAATTAGTACTAAGCGGGATTAATTTAACGGAGCATTTTCTATTTCAAGGATGTCCAAATTTCCCGGCAATTTAATTTCCTTTTCATTACGAACATCGTGCACGTGTGCAATTTCTCATTCAGCGAATTTTAATACCCTGGATGCTGGACATATCCCTCTGGCACGTGTTTCGTGAAACGACAGTTTTCTTATTTCCTGTCGATTTCCCCGCTAACGGATGTTGTACATTAGGAATCACTGATACCTTCCCATATGTATTTAAGCGCATGTAGAACACATATATGTACATTTTTCCATGTATGTATGTGCAAAACGTACTCTGGGAAAAAAAAGACAGCAACCCATTTTGGGGTCCACAATTAGCAATCGAATTACTCGAATCTTTCGTAACACTCTAATCTTTTACGAATTTTACCCCGCGTAACTAAAAATCGCAATTAGCTATTCTATCTATATTCAAGATTTTTAAGTGATACTAATCAATTCTCTCAATTAGTTCTATCGATATTCAGTAACGCAAAGATCATTTTCACTTAAGAGGCACTAACCGAAATTAATTCGATTACCAAATGTGGGCCCCAAAATGGGTTGCTAACTGTCTTTTTGTACCCAGAGTATAAACGTCCTACTGTGGTCGTCGGATAGACGCGCCTTCCAGCCAACGACATATATACATAGACCAGTCACTCCTATGCTTTTGCTATGGAGCGGGTGAAGCCGAAAGTTTGTGTCCACAAACTTTCTCACTCTCGAACTTCCGGCTTCACTCTGCAGACCGGAATGCTTGGTCTATGTACATATGTCGTTGCTTTCAACATAGTTTCTCCGACCGATGCCCAGAGACGGATGTCAACGTCCTTTTAACATCACAACTCTGACTAATTAACATATTTATTTCCCTGAAAAGGACCAGAACCCGAATGTGATCGAAACGTGGGAACAATTTAAATAAACCACCCGCCAGTTTAAGTCGCATACAATCCTTTCTTTCGTTAATGAGCTACGACAAGAATATTCCTTCTTGTCATATAGTATAAATGTGTTGATGCGCGCATAAATTCGTGCGGGAAGGCATCGGTGATTGCTAGTGTACACGCGCTGTCGTCGCTGTTTCCTCGGCTCCCTAAATTCCCCGCGACGTGTCAATAGAAAACGCCGCTCCGTTTTGCGTGACTCGCGTGCGCTCATCGCGAGCCACACGCGACCGCGGGAGTGGCTCGCGGGCGCGCCCTGCGCATCACGCCCGCCGCACCCCCCGCCCGGACGCATGCATCGCCCCGTATATATCGCGTCGGTGCGCTCGGGAGACGCGGGAGAGAGATCGGCAAATCTAAGATCGTGCAACTGGTGTCCGGTGGCGTGTCCGCGGCCGGTACCGCGTTGGCGAGCGCGAGCGGGAGCGAGACGGGTCGCGCGCCGACCGGGCGCGAGGAACGAGGAGCGAAAGGACGCAGGGGGGTGGGGCCCGGGGGGAAGGAAAGGCGACGGTAAGGCCCCGAAGAGGCAGGGGAGAGGTGGAATGCGCGCGGTTCTCGAAGGAGGAGCTGTCGGCGGTGAAAAATCACGCACCCCACCGCGGCCGGAGAGCCGCAGCATCTGCTCTACATACCCTGGCTCTCAACCTTATCTATCTAGGCGCACGTCGGCGTCGATCGACGACCTGTGAAAATCGCTCAATCGACGACCTCGAGGCGCACCTTCGCGCCCGTGCCGCGTGCGATAATCGATTCCGCCCCCCGACGCCCCCCGACGCACCCTCCCCCTGAAATAATTGTGTCGCGCGCGGGATAATTATGGCTCTCGCAGATCATCGACGCGGCGCCGTTCTCCTCCGCGATCACGTAGGCACGCTGACGATAAGTTTACACCGCCCTCGAATTCTCTGGTAGCTAAAGACTTCTCCGGCCAACCAGATGCGAAAACGCGCACGAGAGACGCGCGGCCGCGGCAAACGCGTGATGAATTGACACACAACGAATTAAAACACGATCGTCCCACGGATGTGAAAGACGCGGCGAAATCTGTCGACTTTGTCGCGTATCTCCTTTCGTCGTTCCGCAGAAACTCTAACGAGACGTTAACGTTGCCGGAGTAATTCTCGTCGAGGTAGAAAATGTGTTCCTTTTTAATTTTCACTCGCGACTTACGTCACCGCTTCGCCTAATGAATCGTTTCCTGCGCGCCCGCACATCCGATGGGTAATCGCAGCTATTTTTAAAGAGACCCCTCGCACGCGATCGTCGGGGGCTTCCGCGGAGGCACGGGAGAGCTCATCAATGAGAACCTCGAAGAATCGGAGTAGCAGAGCAAGATATACGTGCGCTGGCTGAGCTACCGGTCGGTCGGGTTGGATCGCTGTTCTCCTGTGTTTCATCTCTCTCTTTTGCTCTGTTTTGCTCCTCTCCCGCTGCCCTCCTCTTTTCGCCCCCCGGCTTATCCCGCTCGCTTTCTCTCTCTCTCTCTCTCTCTCCCTCTCGCCCTTTCTACCTCGCGACCGTTCCTCTCTGTCTCCGCCGCTGCCGCTCACTCCCGTGAGTTGTTGTCCGGCTGTTTTATTACTTTTATAAATGCCGCCGCCGCCGCCGCCGCCGCCGCCACGATGCTACCACTTGCCCCATCGCGGCAGGCGTTTCCTTTGTTGGTCTCCACCACGCTCCATTGTTGCTCGCGGAAAGATGCGAATTTTAATTTGATATTGTCTAATATTATTTATGCATGCGACTAGAAAAGTCATCGCGGGCGGCTCTCTCGCGCCGGTCTCACGTCGTGCCGTTTCTTCCATTCAACGGGGGAAACCGCAGCCGCATTCACTCCGATGACTTGACTCCCGTATGGGAGATCCCGCCGTCTTTCCGCGCGGAGTCGCTCGGATTCGATCTCACGAGCCTTCGAGTCTCGTTGATTTTTTTATCGCGCGACCCTCCCGCAGGAGGGAATTTGGCAGAGAGTAATTTATTCGATAATCGTTTAATCGTTATCGGTTTCAGAGATCCCGCGACTTCCCGCGCGAAGTCGCTCGAATTCGATCTCGCGAGCCTTCGAGTCTCGCTCGTTCCCTAAGGCCGGTTCTACATTGGCCGCATCGCAGTGTCGCGAGGGCCGTAGACTGGTTCTAATTCAACGCCGATTGGCCGAATCTATGATTTGCAATGCTTGCGACGTACGACATGATCAATGCGGAACTGGCCTAATAGCACAGTGCATTGACCAAACATTGGTCAAACATTGACCCAACATTTGGTTGTATTGGGCCAATGTGGAGCCAATGCATTCTTTATCGCACGACCCACCTGCAGGAGGGAATTTGGCAGCGAGTAAGTTATTCGACAACCGTTTAACACGTATCGCTTAACGTTATCGGTCTCAGAGACTCCGCGTCTTTCCGCGCGAAGTCACTCGAATTCGAACTCGCGAACCTTCGAGTCTCGCTCGTATCCTAACAGCTCAGTGCATTGACCAAACATTGGTTAAACATTGACCCAACATTTGGTTGTATTGAACCAATGCACTGTGCTAGGGTTGATCCTTTATCGCGCGACCCACCTGCAGGAGGGAATTTGGCAGCGAGTAAGTTATTCGACAACCGTTTAACGCGTATCGGTTAACGTTATCGGTCTGAGAGATGTGGCGCTGTCTCCTCTCCTTCCCACGGTAATATCTATCTGACCTATTGTACGAGTATTCTTAGCCGTCCTTCAATGTGCTCAGAACCCCGTGGCAAATGGCCACGTCCCGCTCGCCATAAGTGCAATCTAATTACCGGCATGTGCGAGGTGTTTGCCGACGAGTGACGGGGCAGCGAGCTAGACTTGCGCGTACGCGCTCGGTCCAACCAGGGAAATCAATATCGCAGCCGACAATCCAGGTTCACGCTACGAACTGCTTCGCACGACGGTACGCGCAACAGTTGCGTCGAGGCGAGAGACACGAAGAGGAGCCCCGCGACAGCCGCGGGCACGTTCGTCGCGTCGCCGAATTGTTCAGCCCGTAACAGTCGAAGAGTTGGCGCGCACGCGGACTTGCCGGCGGGAACGTCCGGGACATTCGATTTGCATCGGACCCGGGGGTGGGTCGGAAGCCGAAAGAATTGTAAAAGCGCGCAACTTGGAATGCCGTCCGACATGCCGTCTCGCGTTGCCATGGAAATCCGCGAGAACGACGGCACCAGTCCCGGACTGATACTCATTGTCAGATAAACAACGTGGGGCGACATGGACCTCGCCAGGATGACGGAGAAACGACTGTCGTTGGGCATCAACGTTAGCATTCTGCTGATATTGACGATATTCGGCGTGCTTCTGTCCTTGCCTTTGCGATTGTTGTTCGACACGAATTACTCCGAGCAGAATCGCGGAGACGAGGGTGGTGTCAGCGAGAGGGGGAGGGTGCCCGCGATACCGATGGATCATCGGAGATTAAGACGCTGCCCGAATCTGCTGTACGAGGATCGCTTGATGTCCGTCTTCACGAGCGATTACGACGAAAATTGCACGTACGCGGACGACGAGTACGACGATGACGAGGATGACGACGATGATGACAGCGACTCTGAAGAGGATAGCAGGGAGGACGTGGGCGAGGAGAGGGGAAGGACGTACAGGCCCAAGAGGAGAATCGGCGTAGAAATGAAAGAAGGCGCTGAAGAGATCTTGAAGACGCGTCAGATGAAGTCCGTCACGGTGGCAGGCCACATACTCGTGACGATGTTGCTCGTATCAGTAATAGCTGCCCTCGTTGAAGTACTGCGAATACGCTTCGCCAGAGAAAAAGTATTGCGTCACATATTACAGAAGTCCTTAAGCGTTTGCGTTGGAACTTGGTATCCTTAAAGTGTAGGATATGTCGAAACGCATGACACTGAAAAATTTCACCTCAAGAGTTACGCGACGTTTTTTCAGTTATCCCCAGCTGCCCTCTCGAGACCATAATGATGCAATGCGATTTCCGAAAGTCGTTTTCATTATTTAAACGCTCTAAATGACGCCGTCGCTTTTGTACAATTAAGAGACGATACCCTGTTCCAACGCGAGCAATTAACTGTGCCACCCTTGATTATTCGAGCACGTCCCATGCACGGAATTTGCACTTAAATATCGCCTGACATAAGATAAAACTCGGATTGAGTTAGACCCCCTAGTTGTTTGCACCGTTAGGGAATTAACTGCGATATTCGGCAGAGACCGACGGGATAAGCGCTTCGCTGTTTTCCTTGCGGAGCTAGTAAAAACCGTCTCTCGATGCTCGGATAGACACGCATTCGTCAAACTATTGCACCTTCTCTTTTCAAAAATGCATAAGGATTCGTCTAGGGCAGGCACGATTATCTCACGGAGATGCTCCAACGTGGACACACCCGCCACAAGACGTCCCATTTCAAGAGAATTAATTAGAAGCCAAAAGTCCTTTGAGATACCAGGAATGCACCGTTCCGCATTGCGTCTGTTAGGTATGTGTGCGAAGCCAGGGTTGAGCCTAACTCGTTACTCGTAACAAAGTTACAGTTGCAGTTATTTTTTTTTCGTAATTCTAACTTCGTTACTTTCTCTCCGTATCCAACTGTAACTTGACTCATTTACATTTTTTTCGACAACTAGTAACTGATTTAATTGTTACATTAAGAGTTGCTTTAATATTGCTTCAACCTCCACAGATCGCATTAGACCTTGCATCTGCGCACAAACGCCTCTATCGACGTTTTACAATTCAAATGCAGATTTGAAATTTTTATTTCTATTGCTATTGCAAGAAAGTAACTGCAAAGTAACGTGTTACCTTTCAGAATCGGTAACTCGTAACTGTAACTAGTTACATTTTTAGCGAAGAAACTGTAACTGTAACTAGACACTTTTATAAAGTAACTTTCCCAACCCTGTGCGAAGTGATGAATTATAATCTCTAAATACTTGGCATGATTATGAAAACGTTAAAAATATATGCGAGATGTAGAGAACAATCGGAAAGTTTTTGAATACGATTATCTTGTGGGATCTCTTGACGGAAGTGAGCGATCAGGCGCTTCAATTTCATTACCTCTGATATGTCTGCCTTTACAGAAATACAGTACTGTACTTTACACATTTATCCTATATCTTGAAGAAAAAACAGTTAATGAAAAATATTATTGGTTATAATGTCGAAATAAATTTCGTATAACTTCAACTAATTGTAAACCAAAAAGAAATAACGGCATCTCTTTGACGATTTAGATACTGGAGACTATTGCGCTAGAGTACAATGCTAGTACAATGCGGGGTTTCGTGTGATCAGGCGAGACCGGCTTAATTGGATTAGTGGCGGTAGGATGAAAAAAATAATGTAATTATCCACCCTCAGGAGCGCGGCCGCCCCCGCTTATCCGCCGCTCCTCGTTCCCAATATCACAAGTGAAGCAAGCCGCTACTTCGTCTCTTTGCGGTACACCGAGTAAAGGACAGACGCGGCGCCAGTCGGCCGAGTCGGACGAAGAAATTGGAATTGTCACTAACGCTCTTCATCATCGCATTCGTCTAATCCGACGCCATTAAAGCGGCACGAGAACAGGTGAGGATATATTGACCATTTCATTTAATCTAATCAGCGGGCTGCGATAGGAAAATATCACAAATATTGTGTAATCATTGCATCATCCAAAAACAAGAAATTTTACACCAAAACGCAGCGGTTTTGTAAGAATAAATGGTATCTGCCCAGAATTTGACAATCTCAATTTAGGAGATAAATCATGCACAATTATTTCAACATGGCGGAAGCAAAGTTGCCCAGCAACGCAGTTCCGTGCAATAAATATTTAAAAAAAGATTTAGCGGGACGTGTTTACCGCTGAGTTTGCATTCAAGTCGTCTCGCGCGAATTTTACTTACGAGTACGAAACGCCTCGTAGCGGCACCTCGTCGTAACACGACAGCAATTTCATTGTGCAACTATTCTACCAAGATGATTCGCCAAACCGCAGCTGTTTCGCTGACATACTATTTAGAAATGTATTGTGCAAACATTTATCAATATTTGATGAAAGGTTTCTGCATATTTCTGCATATGTTGTTCGTGTATGTACGCATAATCCCAGCATTCCAAGTTTCACCCAGATTTCCTCACGTAATTTGCTAAATGTTTTCCTATCGGGGATATGAATTACAATATTTTTATTATTTAGAGGAATTTATGGAGATCTCAAAGAATATAATTTACCGATTGTAACACATGCCATGATTCAAATGCTCGAAGAACTATCGCAAGGTATAACGCCGAATCGTTTCCTTAATAGATAAAGATAAACGAAGACTCTGTAGAATATAAATAAATGACGGATAGTAACAAACACTCTCTAGATAGATAAACTCTTCTCTTTTCAGTGTACATTAATCCATCAAATTGCTACGACACAACTGCAACAGGGTACGCGTTTTCGACCGTACGGTATGTTTTTCGATACGATAGATAATCCTTGTACAATTAGATAAAGTTAGCGTATCTCCCGTTTATCGCATCGTTTCGAAAGATCGAGTTCAACGCTCATGTGTATATCTACAGGTTACACAACGCACAACGATCACGTTCAATGATCTTTTCTACGCTCGTGCAACGTCTCTCTCGCTGATCAACAGTAGATCCGCAATAGCATCTTCCAACGCCATCCCCTACAGCGGCTTCCAGTAGTGCTCCATCTCCGTGACGCTTTTATACCGACGCTGTCCATCGAAAATTCTGCTTTCCAGCCAAGCAATATTTGAAATAGGTTTGAGACCGGGATTGATATACAGAATCAAATTTCAGGATCGATAGCTGCTCCCTCAGAAAGGATTTCTGTTACCGAGACCAAATATATTCTTGACGCATTTATATTTCTCACAACCTCATTTAGTATGTCAAAATATAATCAATAATTCTTATTCTCCTCTAGCGAATTAAACAAGATCGACTTGCTATATTGAGACAAGAGTAACTTATACATATAAATGTAAGTTTATACAGGGTGTCATTGAATATTGGGGACTTTTTTGGTGTGCAGGTAGAGCGGACTAGACCGAGTCGAAAAGTCCTGTACCATTTTGCAATTTTCGCAATAGATAACGAGTAATTAATTATTCAAAATTGTCGTCTTAGCCCGGCTCACCTCCCAATTCGAGCGCGTGGCGAGATGTGACCGCCCGGCGATCGATATTACCAGGCGCACGGAAAGTTCGAAATGTTCGAAAGCTCGAATTGGGAGGTGGGCCGGGCTAACAAAGACGACAATTTTGAATAATTAATTACTCGTTATCTATCGCGAAAATTGCAAAATGGTACAGGACTTTTCGACTCGGCCTAGTCCGCTCTACCTGCACACCAAAAAAGTCCCCAATATTCAATGACACCCTGTATAAGTTTTTTATAATCTTACGTTTAGAATCAATTTTCCCTCCATCTTACAACGCACGAAGTTGGCGCCGCGATGTTCGACAAAAGACGATACGTACTATCATTTTATTCTAGATTTTAGAATTTTGCATTTAAGATTAAAATATTCTATTCTCTACAATAAATATGATTGGCGCTGTATCGATCCTAGTTTACGATACATTGAAGTGTAATAGCATTGGATCCGGAAATTTTTTTCTGTGAGTGTATCGCGCGAGCCAAGGTGGAAAGCTGAATTGCGGGCAGTACGTGCCCGGACTAACGTGTTTAATGAATAATCTCTATTTTCCGTATTGCCAGCACAACATGCTTCAAGGTCGCATAATCAAACGAAAGTAACTGCAATCGATCTAATTTAACAGCAGTGATTTGTTAATAAGTTATTATCGCGCAATAGTCATGGCACGATGTTTCTAATGGACGTTTTAGAAGTGTGTGCATTAAAAGGGAGATGTCATTTCTGAATTCACCTGCAGTTAAATCAACGATGTAACTGAGCTTTCGTTTGAGATAGAGCTGAGAAAAAGTTATTTTTCTAAAAACACTACTCTGATGTAAACTTTTCTTGGAGGCACCCGATGAATTCAATTAGATTAAGTATATGTGCACTCTCAAGCTGATAGTACAACAACCTTTCGTGTGACTTTCATCGTTTTCTTAACGCCTCGATCATTTTTCGTATCAATTATATGTGTATTAATATTCAGAAAGAGTTATAAAGTTTTGTCTCTACGAAAGTCATAATGAACTCATCAAAATACGGATGAATATGCTAGATTGTAATTTTGTAACGTTGTATATAAGTTTGAAGGAATAACTCCGATGTATTTTCGTAATCAGAAAATATAATCAAATCGGTTAGAACAGAAAGGGGACACGTGGCAAAGTCATGTTTGAGAAAAACCGTTTTACAAGCATAATATGAATTTTTAAGGTTTCATGTCGAAAATGAAGATCGGAACGTAAGGCAAGTGTAAGTAGATAGAAAAGTAAATGAAACTCCTAGGAAGTGTAAATTGAAACAGCGGAATGTAAAAGCAGCATTTTAAGAAGTTAACGCTTCTTTTACGTTCCGCTGTTTCAATTTACGCTTCCTAGGAGTTTCATTTACTTTTCTGTCAGTCTCTACTTACACTTGCCTTAGGCTCCGATTTTCATTTTCGCCAGGGTGTTATTTTGCCCTAAAGGGAGGATCTCTCAAAGTAAGTTTTCGTTAAAAATAAGTTTTACGTTAGGATCCACTTGTTAACTCAATTTCGACTACGATGCCACGAATCCCTTTTTCGTTCTCGCTGATTCAATTGTGTCTGTCCGCATCGATGAGTCTTCGACAAGTTTACGCAGCTTCAACAAGTGATTGTGATCATCGTCTCTTCCGTGTGATATGTACAATCCGGCATATATGACGAATGCCGAACAATTAAATCTTTTGAAATTGCATTGCACCTGGAAGAAATTTTTGTGTCGTCCCGTATACCATTCATTCTCCGGATTCTTTGACAATCTTCGAGAATCTTGATTTTGGTGAGTCAACCCTAGCGAAATTTATTTTTATAAATAACTACAAAAATTGACTTGAAATAGAAATTTGTAGAAATTTTTATATCTTCGTGGAAACATTAATCTTTTTGTAAAAATATCTACGAAATAGTACCACAAGTTACAACGTTCTCTAATCAAGAAATTATTGCAAGTGGTATTTCATGAAAATGTACAATTTTGTAAAAATTATTATAAAACTTTACCAATTTTAAACATTTGAGAAACAACAAAATCTTACAGAATTATAGCATCTGCTTACTTGTAGAATATTACCAAAATTAACAAAAGTGTTTCAATTTTCATGTTAATTTATATAACACTTTTTAAATTGACGTAGAATTTCTTTGAGTCTGGTAATTATATTTTATAATTTTGTAGAATTTTGTAGAACTATTTCCGGCAGGGAAGCTTTTCAGGCTTGAGTTTTCAGTTATTTTCCAAGTTTCAGCTATTGTCACGTCACTTTTTGAGCAATGATGAAGGACCGTACAAAATAGCATGAGAATAGGCAATCCATTCTTTTCTTTCGAATAACACAGGTTTACACGGTTTTGGAGCAGCCAAGCAGCCGAGCAGCCAAAAGGTGTTTTTAAGGTAATTTTCGGCGCTGATCACAAATCCGCAGTCCGTTTTTTGCCATCAGGTCAGGTTTTCGAGATAAATGATTGAGCCATTATCAATTTTCAACCATAAATTGTCATTTTATGTGACAAAATGCAAAAAAATTAGAAGTGGAGTGCAGTGGAACTGAGCCGTTTGTATTGTTTTGGGTCCGTTTGACGTGTTAGAGCCCAACAATAATTGCTAAGCATTCCTTCATCCCAAAAACCTTTGTAGTTTCTCTCACACAGGGTGTGTCCCAAAAGTCATGAAATATATTTTTTTGCCGCACCCCTACTAGTCGCAGCGTGTTCGAACCGGTTGGGTAAGGTGGGGGGGGGGGGGAACCCTTAGCTTCATTGCGCACCAACGGTCAGTCTGCTGCGAGAATCAGAAGAATCAGAATAGCTGATTTAGTGCACCCTTGTTTCGAGACCACGTTACGACGCGCGATGGCTACTTCCGAGCAACTTTGGGCGATCAAATTTTGCACAAAACTCGACAAAAAAAGTTACCGAAACTCACGAATTGCTCAAACAAGCGTACGAGGAGTCTGCTCTATCGTATGTGCAAGTTTCGAGGTGGGTGAAGAGGTTCAAGGAGGACCAGGAAGGAGTGGACGATGACCTCCGCACTGGACGGCCGACAACAACCCAAATCGATGAAAATGTGACTCGTGTGTGTGATTTGTTAAATTCTGACCGACGAATAAGTGTTCAGTTATTAGCTGACACTCTGAACATTCCGAAAACTATTGTGCATCGCATCGTTACGTAAATTTGTTCGCCCAACGTTGCTCGAAAGTAGCCATCGCGCGTCGTGACGTGGTCTCGAAACAAGGGTGCACTAAATCAGATATTCTGATTCTTCTGATTCTCGCAGCAGACTGACCGTTGGTGCGCAATGAAGCTAAGGGTCCCCCCCCCCCCCACCTCACCCAACCGGTTCGAACACGCTGCGACCAGAAGGGGTGCGGCAAAAAAATATATTTCATGACTTTTGGGCTACACCCTGTATGTTACAAACATACGAAATCTCAAAAATCTGACCTGATGGCGGGAAACGGGCGACGGATTTGAATTCGACGCGCAAAAATACGTGAAAAAACACTCTCGGGTCCAAAAGTTGACCGATATTTGTAAATCTGTGTAATTTGATACAAAAATGAGATAAAAAAGTAAAATTTATCGCCCGCGATTTACGCTGCCTCAGAACGCTATTAACGTTTAATTGCTAAAGAAGCGCGAGGAAGCGATTCTGTCGTTCGTATTTATAACAATTAATTTTCATTTACTTTGTGTTTAATTATCAGCTGTTTCGACTTATTGGTAAGGTAGAAATTTGCAGGCAGTACGGCAGGTGGAAAAGCGGCGCGTACATAACAACGCGTGCCATCTGTCGAGCTGTGACGTTATTCGTTCGTGCAACATATGAATGTGCTGATGAATCAGCTGTTTCAATATAGTCTTCCTATCAGTTACTTAACACTGTAGATAATTTGAAGTATCGCCGAGGAACGTTACGTCACGCTCTCAAAATCGTTAATGAAAGACAATGGAAACGGTACTTGTTAATCCTTGGCTATTTAAACATTGGGATATTTTTGCCTTGTTATTCTCTGTTGCTGCTTGACCAAATGCGTTTCACTGAATGCGTCGAACGTTACTGTGTTTACGTCTATCGTTTCAATAATTAGTTCACTTTTCTTTATAGATTTTTGCCTCGACATTCTCTGTTGCTTCATCAAATGCATTTCACTGAATGTGTCGAACGTTACTGTGTTTACATCTATCGTTTCAATCATTAAATCACAGTTATAAATTTTTTTACTCCATTTTTTTTACATAAAGGCCAAGTGGACAGTGTATATCCAATTGGCTCGCTTCTCTCCTCTTGCACGAAACTTGCTTGCCAGTTTCACAAATGTCGATCAACTGTTACCCAGAGTTCAGTCGACTTCTTTTTTCCATCTTATTATTTAAGAAGAGACCGAGAATCAATTCATCTGGTTAGCACTTAACCGATGTTTGCGAAACTGGCTCTAAGAAAACTATACGTAACAATTGTCTTTTATATTTTCAAGACTGACAAAAGACAGGTGCCAACGCCGTTGAGGAAGGCACTGGCAGTGGATGCCTATTTGTCTGACGAGTTCGTCAAACTGGTGGAAAAGCTCGTACCCTTGAGACAGTTGAAAGTGCATTATAAATTACTGGAGGTACGAATAATCATTCACTTGCCCAGCGATTGACTGCTACAAGCTTCTCTATTGTATTTACGTGTTGCCTCTCCCCCTCAGGTATCATGCCACGGCATACCTTGGATTGGGATGTCTCTTGTATTAATCTGGGTTTTCAACAGCAAAGCCTTGTATCAAATGCAGATCAATCTTCTGATAGGTATGTCTCGAGTGAAATTCCGCCATTGTTTGAAATTGATTCCATTACACGCGATTGGGACATGTAATAGGTGGTAAACTTAGTTTCAGCGGTGTTTTTTTTGTTTAACAAACTCATTTATTTCGATATCAAGAGCAAAAAATATGTCAAAGTATCTGCCCTCGCTAGCTACACATTTTTCCCATCTTTCTGGCAATGAATGGATTCCGCAACTATAGAACGATTGGTCTTTTGATGCAATCCATTCATCGATCCATTTTCGCGCATCCTCGTAATTTTTCAAGTGTGTATCCAAGCTGTGCTGCATCGATCAGAACAAGTGATAATCTGAAGGAGCCAAATCTGGTGAACACGCTGGGTGCGGGCGAACTTCCCACTCGAGCTGCATCGGTGTTTCCTTGACGGCTTTTGCAACGTGTGGTCGAGCATTGCCGTGCAAGAGAATAACTTTGCGTCGATTGCTGGCTACTGTTGGCCTTTTTTCCAACAATACTTGATTCGGACGGTTCAGTTGTGATTGATATCGATCCCCCGTGATACTTTGTACTGCGTAATGCTTGCAATTCGGTGTCTTCAAACTTTTTCGGCTGACCTGAGCGTTGTTTATCATTCAAATTAAAATCACCACTTTTAAATCGCTGAAACCATTCTTGGCATGTTCTTTCCGATGGAGCACAATTGCCATAAGCCTCGACAAGTACTTTATGAACTGTAGCTGCAGGTTTTCTTTCAAATCAAAGTAATGAAGCAGCACATGTCGAAAAAAACAACTTATCACGTTCCATGTTTAATCAAAAGAAAAAAAATGGCGTTGCTCGCTTAAATGAATCTTTCCGCACTGAATTTTATTGACAAATGTCCAACCTTTAAACTGCAGCCAGTTTCAGATGTCAAAGTAAATTACACTTACAACTAGCGTCATTTAAATGTGAGCCACGGAAACTTTAAGTTTACCATCTAATAGTAGAAAAATCGTTTCAGGACTGCTGCTCGACGTAACTTTCATCGCTGTGCTCAAGGCAGTTACAAGAAGGAGGCGACCGGCCGGTGATTCGGTTGATTCGTTCCACATAGGCCCCGATAAATATTCCTTTCCGTCCGGGCACGCGTCTCGCGCTGCGTTTGTCGTGTATTTCTTCTTCCACCTGTGGCCGGTGCCTTCGATATGCATACCGCCGTTGCTGGCGTGGTCCTTTTCCGTGTGTATGTCCAGAGTATTGATGCGAAGACACCACCTGTTGGATGTGCTTGCTGGTGTGCTCCTTGGTATCTTCGAAGGTCTACTTATAGGCTACATATATTTGGAGCACGAGACATGCGTCAGTTTAATCTCCTGGATTACGGACGAGAAAATGGATGCCTGAGTAATATTCGTATGATTTAAAGTGTGAGAAATGTATAAAATATATTGAACTGTCTGCGCATATGATTTTATAACGAACGCTGTATTTTTCAGTATTCAGCACCAATTAGGGCAATGTAAGTTAGAAAAGTCTGAAAGTTTGGAGCGTCTGTGACTGTACAATGGCAATCTTTATAAAATTAACTTTGTCGGGCGGTTTGTAAATCAGAAAAGTCTGAAAGTTTGAAGCGCTTATAAATGTACAATTGCAATCTCTGTAAATTACAGGATCAATTTTGTCATATGCTTCTCTAAAACATTATTTAACATACATGTACATGTAAGTATATTATACATATATCGCTTGTCCTTCTTTATTGATGACAAACCGATTTGATTGCTGACCAAGCCCATTGGAATTTGGCCCGCGTCTTGCTCAATCGATTCCGAAATATAAGCTAAAAACAGATTCGTTTGTTTAAATTCCTCGCGAATCAGCGTAATCTGTTCATGTGAACTCGAATTCCGAATTCTGACTCGTTACGAAAGTAAAATTGTAACGTTATAAAATTAAAATTGATTGAACACAAGAACTTCCGTCTTGTGTTCGTAGAAGAGCTCGGAATTGGCGAAACAAATTTTTTTCCGAACTCTTAGAAACAAAGGAAAGTCTTCTAATATAGGATAGCGGGGTTTTTGTTAAATTAATAGGCGTCATCGGTCGATTCCACCGTGAATACGTCCTTTGAGCGGAAAGTTGATTGTTGGATCGCGTAACTGTTGTGAAAAAAGATTTGCGATTGAATTCGGGCGTTGAAAGGCTGCTGTCTCGAATGAAAAACTTAAATCTCATGATAGAAGACTTTCCTCTACTTTTAGAAACGAGACGGAAGAGGAATTTATTTCGAAAAGGGGAAAAAGAAGTTTCGTCCTCGCTGAGGCGCTCGTTGGCTGCCCTGGCCGCCCTGGCGTCGCGGCGCCCGCCATTTCCAGATGTCGCGACTAGCGGTCGCTCAAGGCCGCGGCGCATCCTCGCCGAATGACGCGGAATCGCCGCGGCGGACGTGCTGTTGTGCGGCCGTGAGTTAAGCCGCGTCTCGACGGGGAGGTGGAACGCGCAGTTTCCCCGCGTAGAAACAGCCGCAAGGAACGTGTTATGACGCGGCCGGCCGGGGTTCGCGCAGTCCGGTGGCTCGTCGCAGCGTAGTGCGCAAAGTGTTCCGCTTGTTGCACAGTTGCCAAGGCGACTAGACGTGCGTGCGTGCGTGCGTGCTGCGTGTGCGCGCACCGCGCACCTGGTACTACGCGGTGTGTTATGATAAGAGGCCGATCGCCGTCATTATCGGGACGCAGCTCTCGTGTCACCTTGACGCCGTCGCCGCTTTTGCCGTCGACGACGCCTCGATGCCCCGCGACGACGTGGTCTGAGTAAAAGTCGCCGCGCATCATGGACTACCCGGTGCTGGGCCACTACGACCCCACGGTAGAGGCCACGGACCACGGCAGCGGCGAGGAGGAGCAGGAGCTGCTCTGTGAGTATCCCGGCCCGCCGAGAGGCGCGTTCGCCGCGTGTGTGCGCGCGCGATTCTCCGCCGGCCCCTCGCGTCGCGGCTGTTTCTACCTTTCGTCGACGTTCGTTTGCTTTTCGAACGCGGACGCGCGGCCGGATGCGTCAGCTCAGCTGGCGTCAGCTGTTCTCCCCAGCGCGCGCGAGCCGCTTCCCAGAGGGCTCGACGCGGTGATTGCGGAAAGATCCGCGGCGGCGAGTAACGGGCGGATTGTTTTCTCCTCGGGCTGTTACGCGGCGCGTTCTATCATTCGTGTTTAACCTCAACATTGTTTTGCGCGTTTGTAACCGATATCCAGCGATAAGGTGAATTAGTTGCCGTTGAAAAGCATGTTTGTTATTTTTATCTCTCTTGCGCCGCAAGTACGAAGATATAATTTTACAGGAACGCGTGACTCGTGAATCGTCCAGAGATACGGTTTGTTGTTTTACATTTTATATTCAAGTCGTTGGCGTTTCGGTTCGTTAACCGATCGAATTCTCGTTTCAGGGGAGGAATGTAATTATGTTGTACCTGGGGACGAGTATGTGCCTGCGGCGGAGCAGTTTGGAGAGGAGTTTGCCGGGGCCGAGTTTCACGAGACCAGAACGTTGCTCGCCGACGGCGGCGACAGATTCGGCGTTTCCACTGCCACTTTCGACACGATCGAGGAGCTTATGTGGATGGGGAATCAAGGGGTACGTTATCACTGATACGGAGCATTACTTAATCCAGGCATGGAACGCCTCTACTAGCAAACGTTTATTAACGAGCGATTCGTTGCAGGGCCACGTGACGTCCTACTACGGGCCTGGTTTACAAAAATACACGTCTTTCCAAGTCCACGCGACGCAGGAGATACGCCACATTCATACCATAGACGAGGGTATCTTGGTGTTGACGCAGAGTCAATTGAGATGTCAACTGCGGAGGGGCATACCTATATTCACCCATACGTATGTTTACCACCGCATATCTTGCGCCTGCGACGTACCGTCGTCTCCACGGATTTCACTCACTGTCTGGATTGTTGCAGGTCGGTGAATATGAACGACATGCAGTGTATGTTGCAAATCTCCCCAAACAGACTGCTCATGGGTGGACATCAGGATAAAATAATTGATTTCAACCTTACCAGAGGAAAAGAGACTGGATTAGTAAGACTCTCTGCTGGCTAGATGGTAAATTGATTCCGAGGGCGAGAGATGCGATGGCTCTGTGTTATGTTTGCAGGTGGATGTGGATGAGAATGGCTGTGCGATTTTGAGGCAACACAGTAGGCTCATCTGTGCTGGTAATCCCGTGGGAAGAATCGACCTCAGGGATCCAAATACGTTATCGATAGAACATACTTTGGACACGCACAGTGGTTCCTTGAGCGATTTCGACGTTCAAGGGAATTATCTCGTTACGTGTGGGTTCAGCAACAGGTGAGACATAAGATAATCGGAAAGTCTTTAACCATCTTATATTCAATATGTAGATTCAAACACGGATATATATATATATATATATATATATATATTGTATTATTTAGTCGTCAGGGTCTCACCGTCGATCGATTTTTAATGGCCTATGATCTGAGACAAATGAGAGCGTTAAGCCCAGTCACTACTATGGTATATCCTCTCTTATTGAAGTTCCTACCAAGTTATTCCAGTCGTCTCGCAGTAGTATCGCCACTAGGACAGATGCAACTGCTTGATACAATATATGCTAATGTACAACCGTCAATGACGTGTTTATATCAGGTAAATTTATCGTGCATTCAGCATAAATAGAAAAATTTTAAATAGGAATTTTAAAATATATGTATATAAAAAGAGAGAGGGAGAGAGAGACTATACGGTAATACGTGCATTATCAGGTTGCTACTGGCGGCGCAGCGATATTATCATTTGACGTGGCTTCTACATCTCAATGTCTTTGCTTTGGAGACTCGGCAGGCTCTATACATTTAATGTCCACCAATAACCCAGAACCTCAATTTAATACATTTTCTAGGTCAGTAATTATTTCAAGTAGACTTTCAAATTAAATAATAATCAATGTTTATATACTGAATGAATTAACAAGCTATTTATATTATATAAAAATAGAGAACAAATTGGAACATTAAAGTTGGATTGGAAAAAAGTATAAGAATATATTTTTATTTTACTCAGGCCTACGGAGTTTGCCGATCCAATTGAGACAATACCATCGATCCCTTTTGATGACGATGTCACACCGTATAGTACGATACCAATGGTATATTCAGATCAACCACTTCTAAGCGACTGGCCTGAAGAATACTTGAAAAAAATTTATAGGTAGGTATCTACTATGTGTCATCTCGTTCTTGTACAGCCGAGAAATAAATAAGTTGATTTGCATTCTTTTGCAGGAAAACGCCACCAATAGATCCCGAGATCTTGCGCACAATGAAAATGCAGGGAACAATAGGATACGCGCCAAACCCTCAGGCTTTTCGCAGAAATCAAGTGAGGAAACAATATTCTCCCACTCTGTTACAATATTCTCCTCCATCTCTTTTGAAATTATCTTAAATTTCACATATCCTTGACGATTTTTCCTATTCTTTATTTACCAAATTTCAAAAGCCATTTTGTTGACATCGAATTTAATATCGTTTCTGTGTATCGCTAAGTTGCCCGAGTTTATATATACATATATATATTTCATTTAATACACAAATGTGTTCCTTCAGAATCTTGAGGCTTTACCAGCGTGATCAATTAAATTAATAGATATACTGTTGACGTAAAAGTTAAAGCTCAATGTAGCGTTGAAGTGTTTAATTTTTAGAAAAAAAAAGAATTTGCTACAATGTGATTAAGACTGATAGTCATATTTCGTAATTATTATAATCTGTAAAGAGACGTGATATATTTTCGTAAGCTAATCTAATGGGGTGTATTCTACTAATTTTAACACACAACAAATTTAACAGTTTCAACGTGTATTATACGTATAAAATATTGAAATCTCTTTTATTCTTCTCGTTAGTTTGCTTCATATATTATCAATTTATATTCTACATCAGGAAAATATTAATTATTATAATGATAATAACGATTATAATTTTGAAAAATAATATAAAATTAATATCGTTACATTGTACATTAGTACTGAAAATACTATTCACTTTTTGTTTATTGTAATAAGTATTTTTTGTTGTAGGTGTAGTGTGTGAGATATAAAGGAATCTATTTTTTTTAAAATCAGTATTTCATACCGTATGAGACAGAAAAATAATAATTTCACATACGATAAAAGTATACAATTCTAAATATGTTTACGGTAAAATATAGAATATATTTTTTGTTCTTCGAATTGCATCTGAATCTTGTGAAGCTAATATCTTCAACAATGTGCCAATTTATATACACACATATATATACGTATATAAAGAAGAGAATATATAACAAAATACGTTTTTGCTAGATATATCGAAGTATTATAGCATATAAATGCACTGCATTCTAAATTCTAAATATATATATATTTTAGTATTGGTTTAAATAACTGAAAAATATATATGAATGACACGTAATTGGTGAATTCTATCGTTATTAAATATTGTGTGTATAATATCTCTTGTTTTATTAGTATTTGATATACTAATAAAAATGTTAAAATAATAATTTATTTTTTAAGAACTGCTGCTGAAGTATACTGTAATTTAAAAGACGGGGGTTTTTTGTTTGATTATACAATTAACGAAGTTGAGGCCTTATTTCTTTTGCTTTGCAGAGAAAAAGAATTACAGCAGGGTCTAAGGAAAAACATGCATTGAACTACATTATTAGTATATCGATAATATATAAGTCTTGATTCCCTTTATAGTTATTTGTGTTGACATTTACAGAACAACCGACATAAAGAAGAAGAAACATGAGTAAATGTTTCTAATATATCTTCTCCGTCGAAAGTTTCCACTAATTCCTATATCTTATCGGACGGCGTGATATTTTACTGCCTTCAATCCGCGCTATGTGTTTTCGATTGATTGCATTTGTTTTCGTTTAATGATTTCCGCTCAACAATCTCGATAGGCGATTGATATATTTACATGTAAAATGTGTTCCGCATGAAATGTATACTCGAAATTGTACTTGAGTGATATAATAAAGGTTGTATGACATACAACAGTATGCGTGACTTTAATACGATGCGCCGCATTATCAGTTCAGTTCCCACAACGCGTTCTTTAATAGGTATTATTTATTTTTTCACAGTCCAAAAGTGTCTGTTTCTCTATCATGCACCAAACTGTACAAACTGTATCTCGATAATTCATGGCATAACGCATGGCAAATTCTACAATACAGAAACTATCTTGGCGAGAAATATTCAAGTACGTTTTCACAGTGAATTAAAAATAAATAATACCTCTTTTGCAGATACCGTACAATCTGGAAAAACGATGGGGCTTAGTCGCGAAGCCTTTCGCGGGGGACTCACGGTCTAAAACAGACGACGGCACCTTTGTAGCCATACCTAAGCGTTATCGTAAAATCGAGTTGAAATACTCACGGCTCGGTTACGACGATTTCGATTTCGATCAGTACAATCGAACCAGTTTCTGCGGCCTGGAGGCTACACTTCCCAACAGTTATTGCAATGCTATGCTGCAGGTAAGCTCAAGAAAACTATAGTGCCCGAGGTGAGTCGGGCCAACGAAAATAAGTCACAGATCAGACGCGTACGTTCGTGCTTTGCAGTTGCTTTACTACTGCGAGCCTGTAAGAGTAGCATTGCTCTCGCATTCGTGCCAACGAGAGTTTTGCCTTTCCTGCGAATTGGGATTCTTGTTTCACATGCTGGATACATCACGAGGCTTTCCCTGCCAAGCTGCGAATTTCCTTAGAGCTTTTAGGACAGTACGGGAAGCGTCAGCTTTAGGACTTATACTGAACGACCCAGAATCCAAGAAAAAGATCAATTTGATTGTGCTCATACAAGTATGATAATAATATTACAAAGTCCAGTGTAAAAAAACGCGCGCGTTAGAATTACATTTTAATTAATTAAGAACATGAGGACGAGTTGCCAAGATATATTTTTATTTTCAAGTGGGAAAACAAATTTTAAACTTTTTAGTTATCTTTTATTTGATGCATGAATGTGTTGATAAGTTAAAAATGTGCTCATTTACATGTTCAAATGTTTATTAAGAAGCGAAGAAACTAATCGCATGATACATTTAGAAATTTTCAATCGATGATATAAAGATTATTTATGGTTTGAATTTTGTATTAGAGCTGGAATAGATTCATTCTACATCAGATACACTATGAGATACTAGAAACTAGGAAGCGACAGCAAAAGGAAGAGGAGGCAGCGCGACTTAAGTCGGGTTCCAAATACCCCCCATTCGTTTATAACGAGCAGGACTTCCCTAGCATTCTTGAGGATCTCGGTTCTCGATATAGAAGCCACGACGAGGAGAGGAAAAAAAAGAGGAAGCAGGAGGAGGATGGTAAATATATGTGGATCACATCGAAAGGTAAACACAATTCATGTGTAACCTTTGCACTGGGCACTTTTTGTGTTTATTTTTCAATTTGTATGTGATTTATTTTGTTGACTTTTTTACTCGATTCAATGCTGCAGCGATATATCCGAAGAGCAAGAGACAACTGAAAACTATATGATTATTCCACTATATAATTGTAACCATAAGTTTCTATAACTCGCTAATTGCAGAAACATATATCTTACAGTTAATAAAATACTTTTGTAAGATATTTAGCATTTAATTGTATCTTGCATTCTTAAGATATCTCACAACTGCAACGTTCATAATGTACGCCGATGTACATGTATATATATATTT